CTGTCTGTCTGTCTGTCTGTCTGTCTGTCTGTCTGTCTGTCTGTCTGTCTGTCTGTCTGTCTGTCTGTCTGTCTGTCTGTCTGTCTCTCTCTCTGTCTGTGTCTCTCTGACCAATGTGTGTGTTTCAAAGTGAGGTGTCTCTGGAGCTCCCATTCAGATTGATGAATCCTAAACCTGAACCAGGTAAACTCCTCCTCCTCCTTCTTGTTGTTTGACTTTATGTTTATAACTCTATAAAACGCTTTAATATTTCCTGTTGGAGGATTTTTTTTAAAGAAGAAGCATTTGTGTGTTAATGAAGGCAAATTACATAAATTACAAAATGATAACGTCCGAAAAAATGCTTTTAACGTAAACAAAGTCAGGGGCAGTATCGCCCCGTCCACTGGCAGCAAACCACGACCAGGAGCTCCAGAACAGGACAGTAGGATCAGTCAACCAGGTTAAATAATATTTAAATATTTAATGTATTTAGTTATTTTTTATTATTTTTTTTAAAGACTTATCGGTCCAGCTTTGGGTCGCCCCCAGACCCTTTGAGGTGGGAGCTAGCCCAGTGCGGGTTTGAGCCCTTTTAAAAAAAAAAAGAAAAAGAAAAGAAACAGCTGCCTGCCTGCCTGCGTGCGTTAAGCAGCTTGTTGTGTATCGCTGACATCAGCAGCTGATGAAGATTCATTTCCGGTTTGCTGCTCATCAGCTCTTATGAATCAGCTTCTTTAAATAAAGACCGAAATGCGTTTGTAGTTTAATTTCTTCCTCTAAATGTCTTCAAACTTTTATTTCTCTCTAAATATGTTTGATTATGTTTTTACATGTAAACACTTTTCTCTTTTCTTTTTTGTCCGGTCTGAACCTTGTGACTTCAGCCAAAGAGAGGTGAGCTCATTGATGATGATCATTGATCATCAATAATAATTGTTGATGTTGATGATGTCTTTGTCCTCCCCTGTGTGTCTCTGCAGTGAACCAGAGGACATGGTGTTTGAGGAGTTCAAACGAGTCTACCTGAAGGGCGTCGTCTACGGAGACGACGACGACGAGTCTCCCACTGAGGCCTGAACTACAAAGATGTCCGCCGAGGACCTGAAGACTGAATGATGAGAGACGGACAGAAAGACTGTCCATCTGTCCGTCTGTCTCAGCAGGACGAAAACATCAATGTAGATTTGTTTAAAAATGTGACTTTATAATTATTTTATTGTGAATAATGCTTGTTAATCTGATATACTGAATTTGATATAATTATTATAATGGTAATGAAAATAACAATAATATTGTGACTGTAGGTGTCTTTGAATTCTATTAAACATCCAGATCATTAATATCTGATCAATAACTATCATCTATATAAAGATATAGAGGAGTAAAGTCTCTGTTTTTATCAGAGCTTCTCTTTGTTCACTGAGCCGGTCAGCCGCGTGTCTTTTAGTGCATGGGTGAGTGCATGTTAATGCATGGGAGCGTGCATGTTAATGCATGGGAGCGTGCATGTGATCATTCATGGGAGCGTGCATGTGATCATTCATGGGAGTGTGCATGTGATCATTCATGGGAGCGTGCATGTGATCATTCATGGGAGCGTGCCCCACTGGTGAGCTCACCGCTCTGCCGTACAGACAGCGTCGTCATGTAAACGTAGCCCATCCCCCTCATGGTCCCCTTTAGGTAAACGCCTTAGCTTCTAGCTGCCGGCTCAGCCGTCGCCATGTTGACCCTAACCCCTCAATCATAGAGAGGTTGTGACTTTCAAAGGTTTATTGATATAAGATCATATTTAGGGCCCGAGCACCGACGTAGTCATATGTCATAACATCCTGACCCGGAACACATCTATAAGACAATTTAGAATCATAGTAATAGCGCCACCTAGTGGCAACAGGAAGTTGTAAATTGTGTACTTTGACATCCTGCCCCTCACAGATTAATCAGATCCCTCTAAAGTTTTGTCAGAAAAGCCTTAAGACCTTGATAATGCTTCATTGTGAAGATTCTAAGAAGTTGTTGAAGGGCGACGACGTGGCGGCTCGGCGAATTTCAATCCTTCGCCATGAACAACTCACGATGTAACTCATGATGTAACTCGACTCCACATCATCAGATCTTTACCAGATTTCACATGTTTGATTAGACTCCAGTCCTGAAGACATCTGCAGGCCAATTTTGAATCATAGTCATAGTGCCACCTACTGGTAACAGGAAGTTAAAGTCTTTATACTTTGGCTTGTTTCTCTTAGTAGGTAAATCAGATCAACATCAAATTAGTTCCACACAAATATAAGAAGTTCATAATGCCAGTTCATGAAGCTTTTGATGTTTCGTCAAACGCCATTGCCGTGGCGAAGCAGTCTTCGCCGTGAAAAACGAAGGTGCTTTTGAGAGGCTACAAATGCTCGAAACAGAAGCAAACTTGGCACACAGATTACAAGCCCAAAATGTAGTTATATAATATGATTTTATTCGTTTAGAGTGGCAAATCGGCTCAATGGCGCCCCCTACAATATTTCCACAAAGCAGCCCTCGCAGTACGCTTCACATAGATTTGCAAAATTTGGTAGGCTCATTTATCACATTTGGACTTAAAATAAAGTCTGTTGGGACCATGCTCTAAAACCAGCCAAAAGTCAGCCATTTTGAATTTTTTATGAATTTCTAGTGTCGTTTTTATGATTTCCAGGCGCTGTACTTTAACGAACTCCTAGGAAATGAATCGAATCAACTTCAGATTTGGTCAGAACAATCTAAAGACCTTGGTGATTAAAAGTTACTCAAGGCTTGTTTCGTGAAAAGCTGTTGCCGTGGCGACGCTTTGTTCGCCATGAAAAACAAAGGTGTTTTTGATGAGCTAAAAATGCTCAAAACATAATCAAACTTGTCATACACATTTAAAATCCTGAATGTAGTTATCTGATGTGATTTTAATGCTTCAGAGTGGCAAGTCTGAAGCAGTCAGTCTGGCTGACTGGCTGCTGGCTGCATCGTCGAAATATTTCGACGATGCAGCCCTCGCAGTACGTTTCACCTTGATGTATCAAATTTGGTAAGCAGATGTATCACATGTAGACTTAAAAAAAGTCTAAGAGGTCTAAGTTTAAACTCAACTGGAAGTCAGCCATTTTGAATTTGGTATGAATTTCTCGTGTTTTTTTTGCAATTTCCAGGTGCTCTACTTTAACAAACTCCTAGGGAATTAATCCTATCAATTTAGAATTTGGTCAGAACAATCTTAAGACCTTAGTGATTAAAAGTTACGAAAAGCTTGAGGTTTCATCGAACGACATGGACGTGGTGTGGCGACCATTTTACATCAAGCTGTTGTAACTCAACTGTACTTTTTCAGAACTGTTCCAAACTTGACATGGTTGATGACTGTCATGGCTTTAGAACTTCTGCATGTCAATATTAGCTCACAGCACCACCTACTAGCAACCATGACAGTAAGCAGGATTCTATAATTACAGCGGTCCAAACACTGAACTTATTAAAGATTTGTGTGGGTCGTTTTTGAGACCTGCATTTACATTGACAGTCTGTTATGTTACACTAAAGCGCATTCACAAACAATCGTCTTTTTGTCAAACTTTACAGGCTTGCATTTATGATTGTATTCGGAGATACACTCAAAACAATCGAGTCTTAAGACCTGGCAAAATGAACTGGCTACGCTGCTGCTACCACAGGAAATACTGTAACTCGTGCATGCAGTGTCTGATGGTCACAGAACTGAATGGCTACATCAACCAGAGTCATGACAGTACCGTCAACATGCGTGAAAATGTGTGGGCCCGATCAATGCTGCTCTAATGAGGGCCCAAGCACCGACAGCGTCGGGCCGCGAGGTCCCTATTGAAACTGTAGGAATTATTATTAATATTCTCTCGAATGAATCGCCTTTTTCGGGGCTTTATCATATCCGAAAACTCACCAAAGTCGGCATGCATATCAGGACTGCTGATAAATTTTATATTTTATGGATCCCACGCTTGAACATGAAAAAATTGCTCTCTAGCGCCCCCTAGAATTTAGCCCCCTCATCCCGTATGTCCAATTAACTTGAAATTTTACACAGGCATGCAACCAAATGGACCCCTAAGCTCCGCCTACCAAAATTTAACGCCATTTTGAATTTTGTGAAAAACCCATTTTTGCAGCCTCCTCCTACACGCTGAGTCCGATTGCTACTAAATTGGCTGTGGATCAGTTTTGGATCTCTATAATAAAACGTTATCAAAATATGTTTGATATCTCATTACGTTTAGAAGATATGGACCAAAGAACTTCATAAGGTGTGGCTTTGTTTTTCAATACTCATAACTTCAAAACCTTTTAACCTATAATTGCGAAATTTGTCTCATATGTCAACATCGTATATTGTTACGTACCCTACAATTTTCATTCCATTCAACCAGTAGGGAGCGATACAGTAGTTAAGCCATTTTTGGCTTTTTTGTCAATTTTCGTTTTCAGACGTACTTTAACAAACTCCTCCCACAGAATTCATGCAATCAACTTCAAATTTGGTCAGGATGATCTAAAGACATTAATGATGAAAAGTTACTAAAATGGTCTCCTGAAATTGAACGACCTTCATTTTATGTGGCGCCCATTGCCAACGCGTCATTCACCATGAACAATGAAGCTTATTTTTCTGTGGCTCAGGATGCTCAGCAAGCCTTGGAACTTTGCACAGGTGTCATAGGTAATGTAAATAAATATTTCAAATAGCGTTTTGGCTTGACTGTTGAAAATTGCCTCGATAGCGCCCCCTACAAATATTCAAAAATGCAGCCCCAGCGCTACGTTTGACCTACATGTGTGATATTTGGTAGGCACATGTATCACATGGAGACTTAAAAAAAGTCTCTTGGGTCCATGCTCTAAAACCAACCGGAAGTTGGCCATTTAGATATTTGTGTGCATTTCCCCTTGATTTCTAGTCGCTATACTTTAACGAACTCCTCCTCGGGACTTTGTCAGATCCACTTCAAATTTGGTCAGTACAATCTAAAGACCTGCTGCAATTAAAAGTTACTCAAAGCTTTACGTTTGATGGAATGGTGTAGCCGTGACGTGGTGGCCATTGTAGGTGATTCGCCATTAAACAACAAGCTGATGTAACTCTACTGAACTTGGTCAAATCTGTCCCAAACTTGCCATACTTGATAACAGTCATGGCCTGAGGATGTCTACAAGCCAATTTTCACTCAGTCATAGCGCCACCAACTGGCAACAGGAAGACAGCGTTATGTGACAAACTGAATCCGATTTACCTGATATTATGATGTGGTCTATACTTGATGTAGAGCAACATAATGCATGTTTGCACGTGTTCTCTTGCGTCAGTGGACACAAAGAGATGACATCACAGATTATAGATTATTACTGTAAATATGAAATATGAATCAATACTAATCTACAGATGAACTTTACACCTTGTAAAACATGAATCTAGTGATAGAATAACATTTCTAATATTAGTAAACCTGGCTTCTTCATTTTATGTTCTTGGTGAAAAAGGTTCTGGTTCTCGTTTGATAATATGAAATATGATAAATATGAAATCTGATTTAGATCTCATAAGAAATGTGATAAAACAAATGTAGTTCTTTATATTATTTCACATGTCAAAAATATAAGAAACATATTGTGGAGCTGTGGAATTATAGTGGGGCTATAGTGTAATAGTGGGGCTATAGTGTAATAGTGGGGTTACAGTGTAATAGTGGGGCTATAGTGTAATAGTGGGGTTA